ACGCGATTTAAGGGATGAAATTACGTGTTGTTAACGAGGAAGAAGACAGTTCTTTTTCCGCTGCACAAAAAGAAAATAACTAAATAAGATGAAGAAAAGTAATTAAAGAAGGATCAAATGAAATGGATTTATTCAATTCATTTGCTCCTCGATTTAATACTGTAGAATCTCACTCATTTCGAAAGGTAAAAGAAAAAGTATTTAAGTGTATCCACTCTCTCCTATTGGATGGCGGCGTTTCTTTTTTTTGGGCCAATAAGAGAGGTCGGATTTACCCTTCTCACTCGTGTGTTGTGTCCTTTAGATAGTTGCACCATTAATAAAAAAAATAATGAATAAATATTTAAAAAAAATACACCAAAAAAAAAACACGAAATTGCCCAAAAAAAAAATATAAATGAATAAAAAAATATAAAGTCTGTGTCCTGCTCTTGTTGTAAGTCTTTAACAAAAAAAAATAAAGAAGTAACTGAATGTGCACGAAGGCGAGGCGACAATGGTGAAAGCTCTTATTTCGTTGACTCCATTGTACATACACTAGGCTTTTAGAATTTTTTAAATTTTTGCAAATTTAATAGACAATAATTCCAAAAAAAAAATGAATATAAATTGAGTAAAATAATAATTAAAAAAAAATATGATAGTATATATATATTTAAAAGAAAATGATAGGATGTAATATGAGGAAGAGAAGAAAAAGAAGATGAGAGCGAATGAGGAAGTTACGTAAACGATGAAGTGTGTATCTTGTTGTATAACTCTTATTGTGTCTTATTATTATTACTATAACTTTGTCCTTTTTCTTTATTACTGTTGTTACATGTTATTTTCTGTTTCCGTTTCGATCATCTCTCGTTCGTTGTTGTTGCTTAATTTATTTATTTTTTTCTTAATATTTTCTTTTTGTTTCTGATGTGTTTCTTTCCTTAGCGCCAATGTCGCCTTGTAGGAAAAAAAAATCTGTACCTACTGTATATTTAGGTAATTCATTTAAATCTATAATCATATAAAGATAATTAATAATATACAATTTGGAAGTTTAAAAATTATAAAAGAAAATATCTTCCATAATATTAAAAAACAAAAAGTGCGTTTCCAGTGTTTTATTTATCTCCTCATTCGATTTTTGTTTTGTAGTCCTTTCCTTATGTGATAGTAAAAACTATCACAGATAGTAAAGTTGTTTATCAATTTCAATGAATAGTCACCTTTTATCTAAACCAATTAATACATCAAATATCAAAATTAAAGACAAAGCTATGGTCATTGCATTAAGTCTATTGTAAGATTTGCTTGATATGCTCTTTTGTTAGAAATTGTTAAAATTGAACCTTGAAATTTAATTACTTGAAAACTAATTGGAACATCAAATATTCAAATTAAAAACTATGCCCTTTTTTATGAACTTACTACCATATTTGTGGTCTTTACTGATATAAAATATTGTCAAAATTGATTACAGAAATTTGACTTTAATAATGTAATAATAAACCAAATATCTAAATTAAAGACAAAACTATGGATTTTCCAATGAGCTATAATGCAAGCTGCATGGTCTTTACAGATTTGTTTTGAAATAAAATGTCAAAGTTGATACCTGAATTTGATTTTGAAAATGTATTGTTTGCGTTTTATTTCATGTAATTATGAAATTTAATGAATATGCAAATGATTTAATGAATAGACAAAAGTAGTATTTACCGATCTTTTGTGAAAATTGAGTCCTAAAATTGGACTTTGAAGATATTTCATTTAATTACTTGAAAACATAGTAAACCAATTAGAACGTCAAATATCCAAGTTAAAGACAAAACTATGACCTTGCGATAACGAGCCCACTACAAGACTTGTAGTTTTTACAGATTATTTATAAAAAATATTTCAGGACTCACATCTGATATTTATCAAATGTGAGCCCTGAAATTTCACTTTGAAAATGTAATGTCTTCACGTTTTAATTAATTACTTGAAAACTTAGTAAACCAATTACAACGTCAACTAGCTAAAGACAAAACTATGACCTCTGTAATGAGGCTAATGAGTACAAGATTTTAGTTTTTACAGATGTTTTATAAAAAAATATCAAATGTTAGTTCTGAAATTTCACTTTGAAAATGTAATGTCTTCACATTTTATTTAATTACTTTGAAAACTTAGTAAACCAATTACAACGTCAACTAGCTAAAGACAAAACTATGACCTCTGTAATGAGGCTAATGAGTACAAGATTTTAGTTTTTACAGATGTTTTATAAAAAAATATCAAATGTTAGTTCTGAAATTTCACTTTGAAAATGTAATGTCTTCACATTTTATTTAATTACTTTGAAAACTTGTAAACCAATTAAAACATCAAATATGCAAATTAAAGACAACATTATAGCCTTTTCAGTGAGCCTACTACCAGATCATAAATCTTGACAAAATTAATTAAAAATACAATGTATTCATCAAATTAAATACATAACTTTGATTTTAGTGACAAATTTATGGTGAGCACTATTTGTCTATTATAAGCTGTCAAAATTGAACAATTAACATTCTGGTTTGAAAGAAAACCCTCTACATTTGGTTTAAATAGTTGATAAGGACCAATGTTATTTAGATCATTGCGCATGCAAATTAAAGAATACAATTATATCTCGGTATATTCATCGATTAAAAATAAGCAAATTGAAGCCAAAATTATAGCATTAAGTTTATAGCTCAATAGCTGTAATAAGCGATCAAAATTGATTTTATTTGTCTAATAGGACAAAACTTTGGACTTTTCAAAGTACAATCTACGGGATTTGTAATCACAACTGTTCTCTTGGAATAAGCTGTCAACAAGATATTTTCCTATACATATTGACGTAAGTATACGCTAAATATAGGATGAGATTATAAACAAAACAAATTGGACAAATTTAACAAAAGTATATATATATTTGATAAAATGTTTATCAATTCAATGACGAAAACAAATAATTATTTATAGAATATGTATTTAAAATTAAGTTTTCAACAAATTAAATAATTATCAATTTGTTTAAAGATTGCAGTTGCATTTCCTCATGTAATCGTAACCATTTAGACCATTAAGATCCATCAAACTAAGGTTCGTACCGGAATTCATCAGCAGCTTGGCCACAGCTGCTTGACCAAAATCCACGGCGATCATAAATGGAGTTTTCCTCTTCTTCCGGTCTCTGAAGTTAACGTTTGCACCATATTGTAATAGAGTTTCCACAGCAATAGGCAACCCTCTTCAAAAACAAGCAAAACACATAATATTTTAATTCTTCTTAATCGATTTTTCTTATTACAGAGAGAAAAAAATAAACAGATTAATACAAACTTTTGAGCTGCCCAACTTAGAAGAGATCGATTGCAAATGGGTCCAATCATATTCGAATCGAGATCTCCACTTTCCAACATATTTCGAAGCTTCTCAGGTTGGTTCAACATGTCTTTCCCTTTGTTGAAAAGCTCCCGGTCGCTAATGCAAAAAATTTGCGCGAACAGAAGAGGTAATACGATCAACGTCTTCATTTTGGTTGTGTACTGAATTTTCTGGGAACTTTCTGTTTTATACTTACCGATGACCGATAAACTTTAATATCATTTTGACCTTTTGCGGCAAAATGCATTTTATTTAGCAAATATTTGTTTTGCATATTTTGTTGATTCAAACGGTAAAATGATTTAATTGTTTGTTTCTTTTTTGTATATTTAATTTAAATAAACTGAAATATAATAACTTTTAAGGAATTTAATGAATAGAAAAAGAAATTAAGGGAATTTTATAATATTCTATTAAAAGCAACATTTCTTTATATATTTTTTTAATAAAAATATAAAATAAAGACTTTACCATTTGAATTATTTAGTATAGATTTATGAATGATTTTGATAGTTGAATTTTCAAGTTGTCGTTTGCTTCACACTCAATTTTTTTTAATCGTTAGGTAAGGTTTTATTATGTCTAATTTGTTTAGGTTAGGTGAGATTTGGTTAGGTCAAATTAGGTTAGGATAATGTCAATACTCTATTAAACTTAACATAAAATATATATATTGAACAATAACTTAGGTATAAATAGTAGTAACAATATTTTAATCTAGTTTTGAAACAACAATTCTATAGCTAATCCAAATCATAATTAAATTACAATAAAACTGTATATTACATGAAAGTTTTGCCTAGATTATTTTTTAGTTAATTTATACTTTAACCATAACTTATTTGGTGTACGTTTGAATGCATAACTAAGTCGTTACATTTGCTATTAAATTCTAATTAGTAGTCTAAACATAACCTAATAAATACTTTGATTACCAACAATAATAGTAAACAAAAGGAATGAACTAATTGAATTACTAATAATGCAGTGTGTAGCATGTTCCAATAAAGCTTCAAATAAAAAAGATGGTATATCTTTTCATGTGTAAGTATATTTCTCACAAAATTGGTTACACATATATGATTTATACTATATAATTTATTAGTGTGTAGTGCAATTCAAAATACAACATGATTTTAGGTTTCCAAAGGAACAATATTTGAGAGAAAAATGGGAGTCCTTGATCCCACTTGAAGGATGGAAAGCAACAAACAGTAGTAAACTATGTTCCATCCACTTTACACAAGATGATTTTGAAAGGTCTTCACCATTCAGAGTTTACTTGAAGAAAGGAGCCATACCTTGTAAATTTGATGTAGCTTATTTGAACAAGAAAGCAAAGGTAATATGATGGTAGTTAATTTATTTCAATTACATCTATTTGTTTGTAGAAATCAAAAAACTTTAAACAGACAAATACAGATACTAAGAAGAATGAACATAGTACAAATAATGGGACTAACCAAAAAGCACAAGATTTAATTGATTTGGTTGCAAATGCAGATGAAAGTGATGTAAATCCACAACCAAAAGTTGTTAATCCAATTAATCAAGTTCATTGTGATACTGTACAACCAGAAATAGTTGTAGATAAAGAAATTGGTAAAAATTCGACTGAAAATTATAATAATAAATGTACAATTAAAGTAGCGGATTATGCGAATCTTAAGAAAATAAATGATCTCTCATCAAAGCTTTCATCAAAGGAAGATCAATTGAGGAACGCTAGAAAAACGATCAAAATATTACATCAGAGTAAGCGAAGGTTACAAAAGAGAGTGACGAGTTTGAAAAGTGTAGTTAAAAGCTTGAATGAACGGAATTGTGTTCAAGACGAGTTTTGCCATTTATTAAAAGGTAAATCAATGTTTCATAGACTGAATCAACTGTTAATTTGTTATTGCTTAGATACTACTAATCCAGCAACGCGTCTTCTGCAACGACAAGCGGATAAAGTTGAAAATCCTCAAACGAAGAAAGTTTATGATGAAGGTGTTAGAAGTTTTGCCATTAGTTTAAACTTCATTTCACCTAAGGCTTATAAGTATGTTAGGAATACGTTTAAATCTTGTTTACCGCATCCTAGAACGTTATTAAGGTAAGCTACAATCATTATTTTTGTTATCTAAGAAATAACTTATAATTTATTAAATGCAGATGGTACGAAACGATTAATGGAAATTCGGAGTTAAATAATGGAAAAAGGGAATTCTCCATCAACAAGTCCTCAACCTTGTAAATATAGAATTTTTTGTTAAACAAAAATCTTTAGTTAAAATCGATTTCAGATGGAGAGCTTCTTGATCATGACTATGGTTTGACGCAACCAGTTGCTGACGTTTCAGAAAATTAGTTTAGTTTAATGTTTATATAGACTGTTAACAGTTATCTTTGTATCCGAATTTACAATTAATTTATATGCTAGTCACAGACTAAGCGAAAGAGTTATGTAGAGAAGAATCTAATTTATAAAATATTTTATATATTTACCCATATAATATGAATTGTATTCTTTCATTTTGAAATAATTGTATGTTGTGTTGCCTGTTACCATCTTGGACCGGTACGAATCGAAATTCCGACAACCGAAATCTCGACAATCAAAATCCAGAGATTTGAAATCCCAACAATTATAATCACGACAGTAACAAAATTGTAATAATAATATATTGTTATTAATAATCTAATTATATTTTAGATTATTTCTTATTGTTAAGGTTTTTCAAGAATAAATCTATATCAAATAAAGAAAGCTACTGTCGGGGTTTCGAATGTCAGGAATTTGATTTGTCGGGATTTCGATGTAGACTTGTTTGTTCTAATATAGAAGTCACACATTACTCCACAAATAACGCAATTTAATTAGATCATCGAATATTCAAATGAAAGCAGAAAGTCTCTTTTCCAACGAGCTGTCCTTTCATTAGCTGTTACAAAAATGTAACGCTGAAAATACTTTAATATAGGCAAAGAAATTCTCATAAGTGTATAGAATTGCATACATATCAAATCTTTTGTTTATGTTTTTGATCTTATCATTCATATCGATAAAGACGCATCTTAGACTTGTTTGTTACTAACATATAAGTCACACATTACTTCACAAATAATGCAATTTAATTAGATCATCGAATATTCAAATGAAAGCTGAAAGTCTTCTTTCTAACGCGCACAATGGCAAGTTTGTCCTTTCATTGGCTGTTACAAAAATGTAAGGCTG